ACTTATAAATAAAAAGTCTTTACACATAAATATGTATATTATATTGTAGCATTGTCAAAATTAAATATAAATATTAAATATATTCTTATATATATATATATATTTATAAGAATATCTGTTATTTTGCTAAATTTAAGTTATTTGTAACAAAAAATTTGTTTTTTGGAACAATGCATTGATTACTCTATTTTTAACAAATATCTTTAGAAAATGAAGCCACACATTAAATTATATTTGCAACTAAAATAAAATAATAATATATAATTAAATAATATGTTTAATATTTATACTTGACTAAAAATATATTGCAAATTAGTAATAAAATTACATTATATATAATATAAATATAGGTAAATTGAATGGTTATTATGACATAGGAATATTAAAAAATTTATTTATATGCATATATACTATAAAAATTCAAATTTTCAGCTAGACATATCATCATTATCATCTATTTCATCTTCTGATGTTAAGTCTAGATCATTAGCCTGTGATAAACATTTATTACAATAGCACTGAAATAAATACAAAGAATTTAATGCTTTTTGTCGAGAATGTCTACTTCTTTCTAGACAACATTCATCAAGATAACTTATACATATTTCCTCTTCAGGATGTATATCACGTATAGCTTTTAAAACTAATACATTATTTGAATATGGAAATTCTACAATTGCATTTGGTACACAACTATGATTAACTGATGATTGAAGGATATAAAGTCCAGAACCTTCATTGTTTAAAAAAGAAGCTACCGCTGAAAGAAATAAGATTAATGTAAAAATTATATTATAATTTATATTTTAAATTTTATTATAGAGAATTAACCATAAAATTATAGGGAATTTACCTTCTTCCATATCATCATAAATTCGATCTATTAATTTATCAACTTGAATTCTTTCTTCTCTTGGTAATTCCAAAGCAGATACGTTTTTAACCCAACGACTAAATGCACTAGTTCCAATTCCTTGACCATTTGTACCTACTAGAGCTAATAGACTTTTAAAACCTTCTGGTGTAAACCACTATAAGTAGAAATTTTTTAAAAATTTATTCTATAATACATTTTCAATTATATTTGTACTACATACATGTTCTATAAATTCTGTATTTATAGCTTTCTGCATCATTTGCCTAAGTACATCAATCTGACCAACAAATTTTTCTCCCAATAGTTTATGTGCAATTTCATGTGTATCATTAACTGTACGATGACAAAATTGTGAAAAAATTGAAAGAATATCCTCTTTATTATTGGCTTGATTAACTAGTGCTACCATTTTAACTAACAACATTATTGATGCTGTCTCTGGTGGATAATGCATTTGCTTCCATGTTTCATTTAATTGAACTAAAGGATGAGACTCATCTTTTTCTCTTGATTGTAAACATATTGTGCTATGATATCTAAAATTTTAATATCTTATAATTTTAATATTAGTATTATGTTTATAGAATTGCAATAATTACCTTAAATAAGCATCATTTTGACATTCAATACTACAATATTTTGTACCACATTCAGAACATTCTGTGATTAATTCTTTTTTTGTTTCACAACATTCAGCATGAGGTAAAATAATTGTTGAATTTCCAGTCAATCTATGTACATTTTCTTCTGCAGTTTCTAAAGGTGTTAAACAATTGTCACAAGCTAAATATCCATAGTCTAAGTTCCATGCAAATTGACAACAAATTATAGGTTTTTCTTCCAATATTGTATCTCCATCTTTAAATGAACGAACAGCAAAAAGACCTTTACCCTGCAATAAATTGATATCTATTTTTCTTTTAATAATAATTAATACTTAAACTTCTATATGAATAAATATAAAAAAAATGTTTTCATGTATCAAGTTCATAATTAGATAATTATAAATGCATTTAATATAGATTTTTAAATAAAATAATATAATTATTTTATATATATAACATAATATATTTATATAATTCTATTATACCTTTTCATTATTAATTAATCTGACCTGAAAGTCATTGGAGCTCATTGTAATTTGATTTTCTAACGAAAAAATCACATAAATTTCTAACCTTTAAACGTGCGTCTGTAATTGTCACAATCACTACTGTAATCAAATACTAATTAATATGAAAAGTCTGTATAAAAAATTAATATTAATAATAAAGAATATTTTGCAATAAAGTAATTTGATATAATTATATTTTTATTTAAAATTAAAATTACCATATCTTTGTTACTACATAAATAATTATTATTCCACTTTACATAAGATTATTATTGATTTACGTAGTACTTATAACACTTCCGTAAAGGCAAGCTTCGGATCATTTTGTATGTAAGTTACTTGTTCCAAATCGGTTGAGATTTAGTTAGTAAAGTACATGTAAAAAAAGTATTAATCACAATATATTGAGTCACGAGGGATAATGAACGGAGCAATGGCCATGGTAAGTTAATTATTATTATTATTTATAAGAAATACTGAATTATTAGAAACAGCAAATTTTTTATCATGATGGCGGTTGTAGAATGCTTGTGTGTAACGTACTTATGATTAACAATCTTGGAATATTCAATAAAATATACAATATTAATATATTTCTGCAATATTTTACAAATATATTATTATTGATAATTCTAATATCGATTAAATAAATAAAGTTATTCTTTCAATTTATATTTTTATATTATATCATTTTAATGTAAATAAATATTTTTTTAAACATTACTTTTTTTCTTAAATTTTTTTTTATATAATTGTTTTTTTTTATTGTAATACATCAATTATATAATATATGAAAAATTAAATTTGTATTGTAGTATGTAGTTTATATTAAAGTAATATATGATATAGTTTAATGATTTAAATATTGCAAAATTTTATTTTTTATTAGTTTCTTTTATCTTATATACTTTATAAATATAAAGTTTTATTTATATATATTTTATAAATATTTTATATATTTATAGGCACCAACATCCCAGAATAATGTGGAACCTCCTAGCAAGAAACCTAGAGTTGAAGGTATATTGCTAATATTTCCAAATAGATGTATGTCTCTAATCTATACTAATAAATTATACAATTAAGCGTACAACTGGAAAAGACGGTGAACACAGAAGCAACAGCAAGCATAATATATTTCTAAGCAAAGGAAATGATGAAGAAAAGCATATATTATTTACTTAGGACAATCAGGTGCTAGCTTTCTATTAAACTGCTGGCAAGCTATAAGTGTTGAGTGGTCTATTGCAGTTTCAGAATATATTTTGGTAGGCTAGGGTGATAGGTGATCGTTGGCCCTCAATAAAACTAATGTATGGTTGTCCTTCTGTTCTGAGATGTTACAGCGGAGAGACAGTACAGAATCTGTGGCCTACGACTGAGCTGTGATCATGAGCGTGTGCCAAACAAAGAAAGAGAACGCTACATTCGTTGAACAGAACAAATCAGAGTTTTGCAAACTCCTACTGACACAGCATCTATTGTCGAGTACCAAATATGATGCGTATTTTAGATAGGTCAGCATTTTAGGATAATCTTCTTTTATCCTAATTATAAGCTTCTACAATTTATTTTATTAAGATGAAAATAGTTGTTTATTATATTATTATTATATTTATATTGTTATATAGATCTTTTTTGTTATTGAAATACTTTTTTTGTAACATAAATAATATTTATGGTATTTTAATTTTATTTCTAAATATGAAACAAAAAAAGAAGCTTATAAATAGGAGATGCAATGGCGACGTGTTTTTTAAAATATCAAAGTTTATAACATTTATATTTGAATTACATAAGTATGAGGTAATTTGTTCTTTTATTAAAAAAGACATATGTAAACAAATAAAAAAGTTATTGGACACAGGGTACACAACAACAAGAAAAATTCATTTTACAAAAGCTCGATCACGTTAGATTTTTTGTTAATTAGGATCGCCATTGCTATACAGAATGTGTTAGGGTTAATTGCGTGGTAGGTTGGAAAAGGCAAACTGTAAGAAAATGGCGCAGAAAATGCACTGAGAGTATTCTCCTTTGCTTTGTGCTTACAGATTTGTGCGTCGCCTCAATCTCGGATAGTTTGCGCACAACCATCATTGCTCAGCCCAGAACACGGTTAGCTGTTAATCAAACAATCGAACAAAGCTAATAGTATTAATTCGAGAAACAGCAAAAATCATAAAAGAGAGAAAGAAACGTTTCAACGTGTTCTGATTTCTGTTTCAGAGACTAGCAGACCAAATTGGTTATGATCATACGAAACCTAATCTAGTTATTGGTAGTCTTTTTTTGGGGCTGATAGTGTAAATCGTAATAAAATTTAAATGAAGTTAACCGAACAGTTGCAATAATTTCTCTTAAATTTTGATATATTTAGCATAATTTTGACGTTTTCTCTTCTAAGATATAAAATAATTTTATTTTGATGGCGTAAAAGAAAAGAAAGGAATGCATTTCTTTCAAAATATATTTATATATGAACGAATATGTACATATATGTAATTTTGAACATACATTACTTTATATAAGTAACGTTATTGTTCTTAATTGTTTTAATTTCTTTGAACTTACAGTTTGGAGGACGATTCTACTGCAGTGGGAATTGCTGTACGACATCGTTACTTTTTGCGTCTCTTTTTAAGTCATTTCTTTCACTCTTTGCCCATATTAAAAACTATAAAAATATATGAAACTTGTGTTTATTAAAATTTTACAGTATACTTATACACCAAATATTAAATATTCTTAAATTGAATATTATATATATGAATATTTCAAATTATGCTTAATTTTAAAAAATAATACTAGAAAAGAAAAATATTAGAAATTGAATTTGTACATTTTATAAAATTATTAACAGTTATAGTACCTCTATCATCGCAAAATAAATTTTAAAAAAATGGAAAAAGTATGGAAGAAAAAAAATAAAAAACAAATTTTGAGATATTCTTCAAAAAATTCTTGTGTGTGTGATGGTGGAAGTACTAAATATAGATTTCATATTTTATTTTTATCTAATGCTAATTTTTTTCGTAGGAAATGCAACAGAGTTCTTGCCAGGCCCTATATATGATCTTAATCAAATTAAACAAGTTGTTGCTGGTATGTAAAATTATAATATAATATACAAATTACAAATCGTTATAATAATTGAAATAATGTAATATTTATATGATGTAGATAAAATATACTGTGACAATTAAATTTTGTTGCTCCAATTATAGTTATGTTGAGAGTGAATAATAATTTAATGGACAAATAGCTGATAAGATCTGAAAAATTATTATTTAATAGTATATATATTGATAAAATATGTTTTGTTTTACAATTAACATTTATTTTGTTACAGGACCTGGAGCTAAATATCTTACATTGCCTGGCATTCTAGGTGCAGGTCTTCCAAAAATTACATCTGAACAACAGGATACAGTAAATAGAGCAAAAAAATATGCAATGGAACAAAGCATCAAAATGGTTTTAATGAAGCAGACACTCGCTCATCAACAACAGGTAACTTTTTAACATGATGCTAACAAACTTTACTCGCCTAACATATATTTTATATTCCATTGTATATTCATAGATTTCTATATTATCATCATTTATCATGTAAATATCTGTTTTTTTTTATTTTATTTATTTAATTTTTTTTTTTGCAACTATTATAATATATTTAAATAAGAATGCATTATAGAAGCATTATATTATATTTTTTATTAATATAAATAGAACTAATAAAACAATCAACATCTATATAATAGATAAATATTTTGTTAAATTTTTTTTGCATTATTTGTAAATAAGAATTGTGGATACAATATATATATATATATGAATATACATATTTTATTCATATTTATATCTTCCTCTCCTTTTATAAAAAAAGAAAGAGAAAAAATAAAGTATAGAATATATATTTAAGAATCATTAATTAATTTTCATTTAATTTATTTCTTTACTTCATTAATATTATAAATTCATAAAATGTTGATTGTTCATATGAATACACAATGGAGTTAATATATACATTTAATTAAATGATATTAAATGATGTAAAAATTATAGGGTTCTTTTTGTCTCAAAAAATATTATTTAAAGAAAAATTTACATTTCTTCCTCTATTTAGCTCTTTGCCAGTAATGTAACAAAAATTAAAAAAAAATGTGCTTAGTATTTTAAACTGATATTTGTCCTTACAATTTAGCTCGCCCCGCCGAGTAATATTTATTTTTATTTTACATATGTTAACCTGTGTTCGTTATGACGAGCGAGTAAAGTCAAAACATATAACAGAAATTAAAAACGAACACTGGAACCTAACTCTGATCGGTTGATTTTTTCTCCCCGCAGAAGAATAAGTTGGTCCTGCGGCAGCAAGTTTTATTGCTAATGTGCAGGTTAGTGTCAACCAAGTCAAGACAGAAACGATACGAAACCGCCTTACGATCAAACACTCCTAAACGTTTCCCTGAGTTACTACTGTAAGCGAAGGTTAGATATCTTGAGATAGTAGTCGGCGGGAGCAGAGCTGTACCAGCGCGAAGGAGGACAAGTTTTTGCGCATGAATCTCTGGACGTTTTGAGAAAAATAATTAATATATACTTCCGAGCTCAATTATTCTTTCTTGTTTTTTTTTTATTATGATTAGATGAGTTCCATAATAGTTATAATGTACTATATCTATGTTAAAATTTTAAATTAAATTTAAATTATTTTCTAATTTTAGTTTATTTGAAGATATTATATTTAGAATATTATTTCATATTTATTATGAAAATATAATCATTTTTCAATGAAATACTTCTTTTGGATTTTTAAATGTAATATTAAAATTTTAGTTAAAAAAAAATTAACATCTTTAATAACATGTTTTTAATATTTAATCGAAATAAAAATATAATTTGCTTATTTTTAATTATCAAGTACTTTGAAATGTTATTTCAAACAGTATGAACATTAAATATATGTATAATATTATCAATTAAATTAAAATTCATATATAATTTATTTAGAAGAAATTTATGTAATTCATTGAGAAATTACAAAAAATTATTTTAAATAAATTTTTATATCTTTATAATATTAAGATAAGAGTAGTTGAGCAACGAAGATGGAATGGTAAAAGAGCTTGGGGGATTTTTGAAATGAACGAGACATGGTGTATGTGTGTAAGGGGGAGGGATATCAATAGAAGGCCTATGGTCCTTTGTGTTACAGCAAATGGCTAGTCAACGGAATCAGGTGCAGAGACAGCAGGCTCTCGCCCTCATGTGCAGGTTTGTTTGTTCTTTGTCTTAGCCCTCCAAATTTTGTCCTCGATATTCGTCGTTTTAAGTAAAAAATACTTTTCAACCTTCATTCTGTACAGGCTAAAAATTTTCATTCATCATTTGGATTTGGGTTTTAATGAATTTTAATTATGTACTTAGAATAATCATATATTTTTTCTCTACTGTTAAAAATTGAATTTAAATAATTTTATAATATTATAAATATTGGCTAATATTTTAGTTGGAAGAGAATTGAATTGAAAAATTAAAAATTTAAATTTTTTAATAATTTTCTATTTAATAAAATCATGTTATTATCACTTACATTTAACATATTTTATATATTTTTAACATTTCTTCTGCTTTATTTCATATGTATTTAAATAAAAAAAAAATATATAAAAATATAACAGCAATTTTTCTTTTTCTTATATATCTTTTTTGAAAAAAAAATGTTAATTAAAATTAAAATTTGTTTTGCTTCTTTTTCTTTTTCTTATTTAATTATGGTAGGATAGAATTATAAATATTTTATGAAAATAGATATAATTAAACAGAAAAATTTGATTTAATATAATAAAAAGTGATTGTCACCTGAAATAAAATTCCTATATGACAGGGTATATGTGGGCAGCATCAGTTTTGAATTAAAAGAGGATACGATTAGGCAAGCTTTTTTGCCTTTTGGTCCTATAAAATCAATCAACATGTCTTGGGATCCAGTTACGCAGAAGCACAAAGGATTTGCATTCGTCGAATACGAGATACCTGAAGCAGCACAACTTGCTTTGGAACAAATGAATGGTGTCATGATTGGTGGACGTAACATCAAGGTAGCGGGACGTACCTATATAACGAATTTCCTGTCCCCCAGCAATCCTATCATCCCGCCGGAGGTCGGCAAATTTTTATTTAGCTTTATCCAATATGAAATTCCTTTTGATTGAATTGCATTACATTTATAAAATGCACTTCGATCAAAAAAAAAATCTTGCTAAAATTTTAATGGTTTCATCAAATTATTATTATAGATTTTTAAGTTTCTTATGATATTTTTTTGATATTTTAACAAGTATAATAATAAATTCTATTATTACTCCAATAAAATATTTATTTTGATAGGATAGATCTATTCATATAAAAATTAATATTTTTGAATTAGTAAGATATTTTTAACACATTAAAGTTATGAATTCAAGTAAAGAATATAATTCCTAGACCTAATCCTGTTTTCATATATCTATATATATATATATATATACACATATATACATATATATATTTATATATATATGTTTTTTTTATAATTAAAATGTTAATATATATGACAGATTCGTTACAAATATTTTTTTTTATGGTTGAAAATATTAATCATAAATCTTCATTTTCCTTCAGGTTGTGGGACGTCCGTCGAATATGCCTCAAGCTCAATCCGTTATAGATGAAATTACTGAAGAAAGTAAACATTATAATCGAATTTATATTGCATCAATTCATCAAGATTTAACAGAGGATGATATTAAATCTGTGTTTGAAGCGTTTGGACCCATTACATATTGTAAATTGGCACAAGGAAGCTCACCACATCGACATAAAGGTTATGGTTTTATCGAATATGAAACAATGCAAGCTGCTTTGGAAGCTATTGCATCAATGAATTTATTTGACTTGGGTGGGCAGTACTTACGAGTAGGCAGGGCTATTACGCCACCAAATGCTCTTATGGGTCCGCCAAGTGGAACTAGCATGATGCCTACTGCTGCAGCAGTTGCAGCTGCAGCTGCAACTGCAAAAATTCAAGCGATGGATGCGGTAGCCAGTAATGCAGTTGCTCTTGGTTTGACTAAGCTTGGAGCAGCTGCACCACCGATTTTAAATCAAGGTATAAATTAAAAATAATTGAGAAAATTTTATATTTTTAAGTTTTTTATAAGATTTATAGAAATGAATATATAAATTTTATATACACATTAGCTTTACCTGGGATAGTAAGACCCACTATTGCTCCTGCAACAATGATGGCACCGCCAACTATAGCAACAGTAGCACCTGTTATACCTCCTCCTGGTATAGCTATACCACAAACATTAACTCGACCTCCTGCAATAATTCAACCAATACCTGGACAACCAGTTGTGATACCACCTCCAGCTGTTGTAGCACCTACAATAGTAGGAACACCAGTTGTAAGTCTTTTTTTTTTTATCATTTATTCTTTAAAAAATATTCTTCAAGAAATAAGAAATATTTAAAATATTTAAATTATTCATAATATTATTAGATACCAGTTACAACTACAACAAATTCTGATATTATGAGACGAGCACAAGAGCAAGCAGCTCATCAGAAACAGCAAGAAGAATTACAAAAAAAATTGTTAGAGGAAACAGAACCGCAAACATTACAACAACAAGAAAATATGTCAATCAAAGGACAAAGCGCGCGTCATCTTGTTATGCAAAAACTTATGCGCAAAGTTGAATCTCGCGTTGTCATTTTACGAAATATGGTAGCTCCAGAAGATGTGGATGAAAGTTTACAAGAAGAAATTCAAGATGAATGTTCTAAATTTGGAGTTGTTGAAAGAGTTATTATTTATAATGAGCGACAATCTGAAGATGACGAAGATGCAGAAGTTATCGTAAAAATTTTTGTTGAATTTTCTCAAATGAGTGGTAAGTTTATAAAATATTTTTTCTTTTTATATTATATTAAATTATTTTAATTTATATTAAATTATATTAAATATTATATTAAATATTAATTTATATTAAATTGTTCTTTTTATAGTATTTATTTCAAATACTTATTTTAGAGGCAGAACGCGCAAGAGATTCTTTGAATGGTCGTTACTTTGGTGGACGATTAGTGAAAGGAGAATTATACGATCAAGCTTTATTTGATAATAGTGATTTTTCAGGTTGATTACAAAATACTATCACATCATGTGTTGAATTCCATCAGTTTCATTTAAACAAAAGAATTTACTTACTGTTCAGTGATATTCCATGTTGTCTACATCGGAAATACTTCTTATACAATGTAAACAATTATAATCTATCTTCTGATTAAAAAAAGTCTAGGTTTTAATTTTTGCTTATCTATACTTCTCTATATTTAAAATTAGTCAATTAGTCAGAAATATTATCAATATCTAGTAGAACTAATTTTTAAAAAATTTTATTACAATATAAATTGAAAATAAAAAAAACTATTGAGAATAATTTTGCTCAGTAAAAAATTTACAGCTGAATTATTATTTGTATCATTTATATGAAGGAATTTAATTAAATTTAATGTCAATGTTATTTTCATTTAAAAAGATGATTAATTTCTTATATATGTAAGTGTATAAGATATGCAAAAAAGATATAGGATATTAATAAATTGTTTTATTCATAGGCTATAAACAAATAATACACATAAATTATATGTCATAATCAATTATATGTTACAATAAAGTTTGTACATATTTACTAAATTTTATTAATTTTAAACATTTTAAAAAGATGCATAATTTAATTATACCTGATCTAATCATTATTTTGTTTTTTTTTCTGTATATTTTATGTTATAATTTCTTCCATGATTTTTATATTCATCATAAATTGGAAATGAAGTATATTTTTTATTACATAATGTTGATTCTTGCAATTTATTACTTGAATATTTTGCTTCTATTTGTGCAGAATTTTGTTTTTTTATCATTTTTAATTTATAATTTTTTTCTATTTCTTCTTTTGATGGTGGAACTTTTCTACGATATCTTAACCATGCTTCCCATTCTACAGGTAATTCTTGGTCGTGATTATTATTTACGGGTACAAAATATCGTGGATTTCTTCTTGAAGAATTTGATTTTTGTATTTCATAATATTTTGTTCCATAATAATCTTCACCAATTAATTTATGCTGGTTTATTCTTAATGATGCAATAAAATTTTTAAAAATCTGCTGAAATATACCTCGTTCGTTTTTAGACATTTTAATTTGAAACACTAAAATATTAAATTAAAGTTATTATAAAGTAATTGGATGAAAAGAGTGAAATATTTATATTTCTGTTATTATATTATATTTTATATTATATTTTTTATCAATATCTATTTAAAATGAAAGTAAATTACCTTTTACAGAAAAAGAAAAAAAATATATATTCGAATATAAGTACAAATAATTATTTAAATTAAATAAATTAGATTATAACAATTTTTTTTAATACGCATATAATAAAACGGTAACAAACTTATTTCATGTTTAACATGAATATTACTACATATCATAAAATATCGTTTTTTGTATATTATGTTGGTAGTCTTGAATTTTGTATGTTATATTTGAGTTATTTATTCTTCGAATACTATTAAAAGAGAAATTTTTTCTTATTAATAATAAATATTAAATTTTTTTATTTTATATTATATTTTAATGTTTTAATATATTATACTATTGAAACACAAAAATTACATTTTACTCTGAAATATTAATGAAATTGATTATTAATTTATAAAAGAAAAATTTTAATTCTTATTTATAATTATTTATATATATATATATATATATATATATATGAAATTTTAAATTTAATTATGATTTTATTTTTTATATTTTAATGATTTTTATAAATATGAAAATGATTATTTTTTAATTAAAATCAATATATTTAGTAAACATTATTTAGAGAAAAAATTTGATATATTATCGATATATTATGAATGAAGTATTTTTCTTAAATTCAAAATATATTAATTTCATGAAGATCTTCACTCTTGTAAACATAAGTTTATTTCACAATGCTTAATAAGATTATATATTTAGAAGGTTTCCCTAACTACAATGACACGTCGTAAAATCAATTCTATAATTCAATATAACAAGTATTAACTTTTATATGTACAAGAACATTTAGTAGATAAGACTAGCATAAAAATATTAATATAAAGAAAAGTTAAAATTTACACTAATATTTTAAAATATATAAACACGAACTTTTATTGGTTATAAATAAATCGCAAATTTTATCATTATTATGTAATTGCAACTGATTCTTAAATGATAATTAATAATTATTATTATTAAGATTAAAAATACTATTGAATTATTCTTTTATAGAAATATGCATTTAAAATGCATTTATAAGTTAGAAAATCTTTTGCAGAATAGAGGCCCACTTGCCGATTGATTACGTCACTTCCAGGCGTGGTACACTATAGTGTGTGATGTGCGTGTGTTACTGAAAATGGCCGTGTACGTGCGGGTCTGTCTAGTTTACTGATTCCACACACGATAGTTTGCACATTCTTTTTAATATTTGGATTTAAACAGTGAATTTTTCGATGATATGTGTAATTAGTGCGAACATGTAATTTAAAGATTTTAACTAGTTATCGATAATATAAATTGAAACGAAGTGTGCCCATTTCATGAACGATGGATCATTAAAAGAGAAGGTGAGCAGAGGATGT